ACCCAACCACGTTCACCTCGGGACTACCCCCCTGGTCACCAAAACCCATCATTACATGCTAATGGCCAGCCCAATAAGAATGCCAGCCCCTTTTGGAGCTCTCATTGCCTCCCTCACACGTGGCCTTAACAATCAGCAACGCCAAGGACATCCCCCATAATATAGAACTCTATTTCCCCCTACTCCTGAACCCTCAAAAGAAGAATCCCCCGACTATTACTTCATCCTCGGCTTGGAATATATCCAAATACATTCTAGATCGCTCCAAATAGCCTCGACACGCACATTTTTGCAACCAAATGTCGTGGGTGACAAAGAATATCAGTTCTAGCGAGCCCCTTGGGACGCCATAACAACAACTCCTCTAACCCAAAGCGTTTTCGGCCAACGTGAGTGGGGGACTATGGACTACCCCTTGGTCTTTTTTGCCATAAAGCAAAACGCATTAAACACAAACTTCATAAATAAAAAACATTGAAGAGCTACCCCCTTTGCCTCGACTGCCACTTGGCAAAGGGGGTGGGGACTCCCATTGATTCTGGACCTCCTGACACACATACTCACATCACTCAAAAAAAGTCTGAACATGTCACCAAAAGCCAAGTCACCCCTCAGTTGGGCCATTGTTCAATTGAGGGCCGCATGCTAGTGATGAAACCGACTTGTAAAGACCTAGTCATTCATACGACCCCTTGGCACCATGCTCTTTGGCCACCATGTGCCCGCTTCAGAGCATCCCTCCATATATTAACTTACACGTGTACATGGATTTAATGCACTTATCATTTATAAATATTATGATTTATGAATAGCCCCCCTTTGGGCATATGTAGCGGTTCAAACTTTCGTAAATTCATTACGCTCTTCTCTTTCTAAGTTATTAACTCTGTCTTGTTTCTATGTATCAATAGTGGTATTTTGATAAAGTTATCATTAGGGTTATACCAAACTGCCTAGATCGGTTGGTAGGAGGCGGGTGAATTCCGGTTCCAATTAGGCTAAAGGAGTGTTTGCTAAAGATTAATTTAAGTGCTTTTTAGCTTTTGGCTTAAAAAAAGTTGAAATGAGCGTTTTCAAACGATAACTTCTGCTTAAATTGATCACTTAAAAGCTAAAAGCTGAAAACAAGTTGAGAGGTGCTTTAAATTGCTTTTCACTTTTTCTATTATACAAAATGCACTTATTCTATCAAACATTGCCAACTTTTACTTTTTCATAATCATTTTGTTCTCAAACACTACTAATTTTTGCTATTAATCATTTTTCTCAAAACCACTTTAAGAAATCACTTTTTAAAAGTAAAAGTAATCGCAAACACTCCCTAAATGGGGCACTAGTGTACTAGGTTCCGTTTGTCATTTTTGTAAATACTGAATTGCTTTAATCAGCTTATATGGTTGAATGGGCTAAAATGATTAAAAAAATATATTTGGTGATTTATTTGGGTGAAATAAGTGATTATATGTATAATAATTACTTAAACGGATGTGATGTACATTTTGAATTTTTGAGACAATTACCTCCAATATAATTGAAAGATACGTAGTACATGTTTTCCTAATACGTAGTATAAGGTTACACATGTGTTTTTCCTAAAATGATACGTGTTACCACTCATGCCCATGAATCCATGATTCAATCGTTAAATGTTTCTTCCTACTCTCTCCGTCCCTAAATGTTGTTCCAATTGCGGATTACGAAGGTTGACCGACGATAAAGTTAAATGATCCCTGTGAAAACTCGGATTATTTTTAGTAAATAAAATTTACATATTCAGAAACTACATTAAACCCGCTACAAAGCCTGCAAAAAAACAATTCAACTTTTATAAAATTTTGATATAAAAAGTAAGAGTTTAAGAGTGATTTAAGTTGACCCTCGATAAGCGAAATGGAACTTCTTTCAGGGACAGAGAGTATTTTTTATCAACTTCCATGTTCACGTAAATCCATTTATTCTCACTGACGCGATACGCCAAAAAAACATGTTTAGGCATATATTAGGAAAACATTTGTATTTTAGTAATTTTCCCTATATTATTTTTTGAATTGGAATATGCACAACTGCACAAGTAGGGCGCGATAGGGATATTTCCTTGGAGAAATAAAAATTAGCCACCCAAAGTAAATTCGAGGTAATTTTTTTACTTGAAAGCGTGATCAGCCATATAGCCATATAGGAGCTAAATGTGGCTGTGTTTGGTGCTTTTTTGAATCTTTTAAGGCTTATCATCCCATATGGAGACTCTAAACGGGCAAAACTTTAATTAATTAATACAAAAATAGCAAAACAGTGTTTAAAACATCACATGAACGCAGAAGGATGGAAATCAAAATGTTAAAGAAGTGAAAAACCAAATTTTCAAGCCTTTATTATTTTGTTGAGCTCAGAGTATGGGTAGAATTGGTTGAGAAAAAACTTGGGGAAAATGAAACTCAATCAATTTGTTTACGATTTTTTTCAAACTCATTGTGTTTATTCATTTGCAATGGAGCCAAAGATTCATTATATTTTGACTTGAGAATATGATGGAATACAACAAAATGACTCACTAAACTGTCTGCGCTTCTTTGTCATGAAGCAGCACTCAGTCCATGCAATTTTGGACGCGATTTTCACTATAGATCATCCGGACACAGTCTCTCTGTGTTTTAGTACAGGGTTAAGATTGCGTACATCCGACCCCCTTACCCCACGGTAGGTGGGAGCCTTTGCGGCGTGGGGTAAATGAAAATGAAATGATTGTGTTTATTCATTTCTATTATATATAATCACACTTATCTAAATATATGAAGCCAGAATTAGCAAGAGGTGGTAGACTGGTAGTGGTTGCAGCAATATACGAAGTATTTAATTAGTTTTTTTTAGAATGAAGTATTTAATTAGTTAGTTACCAAAAGTTTGTTAATAAATTTGTTGAAGTTTTTAAGGACTTTGCAAGTAAACAACTTAAACGAACCGTTCAATCAATTTATATTCTGAAAATTGATGGAAGCTAAAAAACAAATGAGAGACAATTTGATTATGCTTCATTAAGCTGACATAACAAAGTTGGTTCTAAAACGATTCTACTGGTTCATAAGGGAGTTTATTAAAAAATTTACACCACAACATATAGTATTGGTTACCCTCTTCTAGAAAGTGATTGCTACAGGTTTGTTAGTCAAGTTATGACAATTTGAAGACGGCAATTTTAGACTTCTTACTTTCTCAGAGCATCTTTAATGCTACATCCTTCAGATGGAGTAAACTTTGACACATGTCACTTAATAAGTGGAATGTCTATCCTATGTCATGGGAGAGTGATTTAATTAAACATTGAAACTCCAAAATGTGCTCCAATGCTTCATGTTAACAACCCAAACTCATACGGAGTAATATATGTCTATGCCTTTTACTTTTAAAATAATGAATTAAGAATAATCTTTTTTGAACAAAAAAGATTATAGTAAATTGTAATCCGTATTTTAGAATGGATTATGACAGAATATCAATGAACCATCAGGTAAAGGTTCACCAAGGCGGCCGAAATTCTTTTGCCAGATAAGCGCATGTATCACCGAAATATCCATATTACAGACTATTATCATTAAAAAGAAAGGATTAAAAAGCAGTGAAGATAGAAAAATCTGATTGTGAAATTTAGTTTTGAGAAGGATGAATTAATCCAAAGTTAGGAAATTTGTAAATGCGAGCAAAAATATACTGCGTATGCAAGAAATCAAATCCTTTCCCTGACAAACCTGCTACATTGAAAACTGCGAAATTAATTTGCTGAAGAAACCCACTACTTGAAATTAATTCACTGGTTCAAGACGTTTTGACGATTTTTTTTTTGCGGAATTTCTTCACCCATTTTCGCTGAGTCATCATGTCAAGGAGGTTGTTATCAGAAGGCAGTCACCTTAACAATGTTGACTTTATTTTTGAACAGGTCAGCTTTATATGACTTTAGACGTATTGCGCTGGAGACGAAAATGTTGAGAGATATGTGGACATCACTGATGCGGCAGTTTTTTCTAATGTCAACAGGCTCACATTGGAGATGCTCTTAGACATGTTATATTGGCTGTTTTATGGTGTGCTACTTAACGTCAATTATTATACCCATTTATACATTTATAAAAAGTCAAACATCAAATTTTTATACCTGAAATACCCTTACCCTGATTTCCCATCATAATAAGTTAAGATTTAGGATGTTTTTACTTGGACTGTAATTTGCTGGTCTGGTCTGGTCTGGTCTGATCTGGTTTGGTCTGGTCTGGTCTGATAAGGTCTGGTTTCTTTGTATTTTTATAACTATCCAAGTCTGGTCTGGTCTGGTCTGGTCTGAACTGGTCTGGTCTGGTCTGAACTGGTCTGGACTGGTCTGGGACAAATTACAGTCCAAGTAAAAACATCCTTAAGATTTATAGTGGGATTTGTTCCCTACCGTATGGTTAGGTGTATGTATTGTTGTGGTTCACCTAATCAGATGGGATTATTGTAGCAAATTACTTTTGCTTTGATATATTAATAGACAATATATAAGTTGCCTGTTGCCCTAAAGAATGCTTCATTCGGACTTGAGTTTAATGAAGGTTTTAACTGACCTGATCTACTTTAATTTATTTAAGTCTAATTACGAGTCTCTTGTTTATTGTGAAGAAGTATAGTTTATTGTTTATGGATCATACTCCTACAATGAGAGGTCTTATATTTCTCAGCTTCTGTAAATAAGTGAGTTTTATTTATGACGAATCCTCCTGTTAAAGTCTAGCCATTTTTAGGCTAGAAATCACAGTTTTGTAATAATGAGTGGTGAGTGGATTTATTGATGCCTAACCAGTGATATTTGGCTAATGATGAGATTGCAATGTATGCTAAAACAAATTCCCAGCTCATCAGAACACCTAGAAAGAAGGTAAGGTGCCCGCCCTTCCTCCTAGGATAATGGATATTTCTGGATCCTGAAAAATGTTAGGAAAGAGGGGAAATGGCTAAGAAAGTTGTTTTTTCGTATGTTGTAAATTTGTAATAATGGAAAAAAATGATGATAAACATGAAAGATGATTAGTTCTTTAATGTTCTTATACATATTTCTATCTTTCTTGATCTTTGTCTAATAGTTTAAGTTGCTACAAATGAGTGAAAAAATATCTAAAATAAATTTGTTATGTTTGAGGAAGCAGTCGAGCCCAGTTAAGCGGCGATTATACGCGGTGATTATATGAAGTATTCGATTTGAGCCTTCAAACCAAAACCCCTCATATTCTTGAGGGAAGTAAGAGATATTGCTGCAACAGAAGCGTTTAAGGGGAAACACTTCTTTCTTGAGTTAGACAAAGGGCCCTTCACTGAAACTTGACCATACAGGATTAGCAATACTGAATTGATCTTTTTTCGTTCATCAAATAGCATAAAAGGCTTCAAACTGAAAAAAAAACTAACAAAATCAATTATCCTAATGCAATTAAGTTCAAAATCATAATAGCCCAGTTGAAGACCATAATGAAAGTAATGAAACATATTTCAAGATTCAAATGAAATCAGTCAAAAGCTAACAAAGCCTACTAGGTTATTGCATGTTTCCCTGTCATACCTCAAATAAGCCTCCTGTGACATCTTCCAATGACAAAAACGTGTGTGAGCCATCATCATATTCACAAAGAGTCAAAGACCTCCCATTTGTTAAAATTTGTCCAATACCTTTTAGCAATAATTACATGGGCTTTTTTATAAAAATATTACTAAATTAAAACTTATTTACATAAATATGACTATTAGTTACTACAATGCAGTGTTATAGTAACTTAAGTTTAAAAATTGAACATATTTTTGTAAATAATTTTCATTTTAGTCATACATGTCTAATTATTTCTAATTACATTGGAAATCAGCTGAAAAAATCATCCTATGATCAAGGTTATGGGCGGACCCAGAAAATTCATCTTCGGAGGGCGGTAATATAAAAAAAAACTTTAGGGGGCGAAAATTATTTTTCGTGTATATATACACAAAAAAATAATTTTGGGTCTCTACTATGGTCCGCCCCTGATCAAGGTGCACCATCCACATACAGGTAACATAGAAGGCACTGCATTACCATCGCTGAAATTGTAGCCTATGACAAAGCATTGAGACTACTAAATTAATCTGGTGCACTCGAATTGGAACAGTCCTTCCCAAACTTACATGAAATTCCTTACCTAAGGCAACATGCTCAAGCTTACCCCCTTTGTCTCTTACTAAATTACTCAACGGTACATCAATATCAACAACATTGAGATTTGAGATCATGTAAAAGAGCTACTCTTTCCAAAAACTGGGCTAACTCCTTCCTTTCCTTGGTGCTGATGGTATATGAACTGCAAGGAACAATCCAGTATTATAATTTATAAACCAAGACATGTCTAGTCCCTTAAAACATTAACTGCATAAAAGTCTGTTCTTTTATCCACTGATAGCTGAAAATATTACCTAACACTTACTAGTTACTTCGTATTTGTTAAGGGCTTTCTGCGTGAAGAGGTGATTTTAATTTATTAACTTTTTACACTAATATAATTAGACATTAGAAATGAAATAAATAATAAATATGAGAAAATATATACCAATGCATGATTTATCTAAAAAAATATGATGTATAAATGGATCCTCACCACCCCTGAAAAATAACGCAAACAAATATGAAATAAATAATAAATATTGATTTATCTAAACGTAGTAGTATTTAATCGGTACTCTATGATGACAGGCAAATACAGATAAGTTAGATAAAAAAAACATCAATCCTCACCTCCCCTGAAAAATAACCCAACCAAATAAGCCCCAAAGATAACTAAAATGCTGAAATGACAAAATTAAATATATGGAGAATTACAAATGGAATAGTGATTTTGCTAAGTGATCATATGTTCATATGTACCTGGAATGTAAACATGAAGAGCATAATAGCCATCTACTTGAGGAAAGCTTCTAACTCGACTAACTTGACTGGTTTCCAAGCAATCGAACGAACCTTCACAGACCAAACCCCGAATATCTGGTGAGCGTAACTAGGCAGCCAAAGAGTAAAACAAATGTATAATCACGCGGTTCACTAAGTGAATCGTGTGCTAATGGTTGAGAAATAAATTTACCCAGTAAACACGGCAAGTCAAGTAGAGCTGCAGGAGGCGGCGGCAGAGGCGTGAATGTCTCGGCGGCCATATCAGTGGAAGTAAAGAGGGTGGCCGGAGTCTGAGTCGATTCAGAGGAAACGTCGCCATTCTTCTCGTTCCCGTTATCTTGATTTCATTTAACGAAGGACTCTGATTCCCTTATTTCCCACACCGTACGCCTTAGGAAGAGGAGGCGCTGGGAGCGAGTACAAATAAGGGACGTGCTCCTGCCTTGCAAATTAAAAAGGGTCGGTTGGCTAATTATGCCACATTCGCCCGATGGGTGAGTGCTGTATGGCTATCAAGACATATGGCCGACATAATTTGTGGGACTTCATAGGGTTGGCTCGCTGGCCGACCCTCCAAACTTTAGTCCATGCTTTTCTCTTTTTTGCGGTGAAGTTTCCTTAGGTTCTTACATAACGATAAAGCAAAATGGAATTTAACCTTTTTAGTTATCATTTTTCTCTAAGACGGAGTAATAATTAGGTACTGTTTGTAATTATATACTCCCATCTCCTGTCAACATAGTTCCCAATTTTCTTTTTGGGCCGTCCAAAAAAATAGTTCACATTTCTTCTTTTGGAAAGTTTTTTGTGGCTAGACTGGTTCTATTGTTCCGGTCCCGGCACGACTGGTCTTTGAAAAAAATATATAGAGGCCTGAGACTGAGATCTCTAATTTTGGTTCCCGCCCGGCCCGATCTAGTCCCGAGTTTTTCTTTTAATATGCTTTTAAATCTTCTATTGTCCTCTCCACCTCATCTACATCTCTTTTAAAATTCTAAATGAACTCTTAACTCTTCTGAAATGGTTTAATAAAAAAAACAATGGGAACCAATCTCATCCCGATCCCAATCATTGTTGGTTTCAAAAAATTGAGCTCCGGGACCGAGACCTCTTTCCCATTTGTCTGGTACGTAGGGGTGGACTAGGCCCGGTCCGGTTCCGGTTACGGGTCAGGCCCGACCGGGCTTGGGATTTTTGGAATGAAGCCCGGGACCGGCCCGGGTGTTGACCGGTACCGGTTCAGGCCGGTCTACCTGCCCGGGTAGCGGGCCGGGCCGGTTTGGGTCCGGTTTTTGTTGTTGTTAATTAATGTCAACAAATTAATTCAAGAAGTGCTACATATAAAAAACGTAAAGTATATTTTTGAAATATGAACTACAATTGAGAATTGAGGAAAAAATTAAAACATGAAATACATTTTCTAATAAATAATAATCAATCGGAATCTCCGCCATCGTCGGTTGTTAATTAACTAAAATCCCAACAATTTTAATAAATACTAAGAATCTTACAAGTTTAATAGTTTAATTAACTAAGATCCCAGCAATTTTAATAAATACTAAGAATCTAACAAGTTTAATAGTTTAATCAACTAAAATTCCAAGTACTTTAATTAATACTTCAATCTAACAAGTGTAGTTTAATGAAATAAAATGTGAACTATTTTTTTTTTAAATAAAAATTCGAACTACATTTTTTAATAAAAATAAAAATTCGAATTACTTTAATAAATATTTAAAACTAACGCGAAAATGAGAAATGTAACAATTTACTACTTTTATACTTTAATGACAAATGTAACAATTAACTACTTTTATTCTTTAATGAGAAATGTACCAATTAACTAATGAACTACTATAATGAGAAATGTAACAATTAGGTAATGAACTAATATTAATAAAAAATGTAACTAATAGGAAAAATGTATGAATGTGTATATTAATTAATGGGAGTGTGGGTGTATAAGTAATAGGATGAATTCAACTAATATTAATTAAAGTGTAAGTAATATATAATATATTGTGTATAGTATATAATCGTAGCATGTAAGTATACTACTATAATATGAGTAGTATACTTATATTTAATACTTTAATTAGATGTAAATAAGTAAATATAAGTAAATAACAAGTATATAATAAGTAGATATTAATTATATATTAAGTAGATAATAAATATAAGTAGATATAATATATGTATTTATATGTAGATAATAACTATATTAGCAGATATAATAATTGTATAACTAATACGAAGTATATAATATAATGTTATAGTATATAATATTTAAGTATGCTACTATAAGACGAGTAATATACTTATAATTAATACTTTCATATACATAAGTATATATTAAGTAGGAGTAGTCTTCCGGTCAGGTATACCTGACCGGAGCCCCGTCCGGCCTCCTCCATTTGGGGGCTTTCCCGGTGTTATTTTTTGCTCAAATTTTTTGTGTAGGTTCCTCATCAACTCTAGTTCATCCATACCAAATTTCAGCCAAAAATTCAATCGGGAAGGTCGTCAAATGATTTTTGCAAGTTAACTGGTCCGGAAAATACATATTCTGGACCAGTTAACTTGCAAATATCATTTGACAACCTTCCCGATTGAATTTTTGGCTGAAATTTGGTATGGATGAACTAGACTTGATGAGGAACCTACACAAAAAATTTGAGCAAAAAATACCACCGGGAAGACCCCCAAATGGAGGAGGCCGGACGGGGGGAGTGGTCCGGCCTGGCCGGACCTGAATATTAGTCTATTAAGTAGATAATAAGTATATATTAAGTAGATAAGAAATATAAGTAATATAATATAATTAATACATAAGTAGATATAACAATTGTATAAAATTATAAATAAATGTAGAGATAATTGGAGAAGATGAAGATGATTAAGAGTGTTAGAGAATAGAGAGTAGGAATAGTTGGACAAGAGGTGTAGAAAATGCATAGAAAATATGAGTATTTATAGATTTTTTTTGTTCCCCACCCCCACCCCCAACCCCCCCGGGACCCCCCCCCTTGCCCCCAACGGCTATAGAGCCGTTTGGGAGCTTTCCCAACGGCTAGGAAGGAGCCTTCCATTTAATAATTTTTTTTTTAAAAGAGCCGTTACCGGCCCGGACCGGGCCCGGATCAGCCGGTTCGGTCCCCATATATCTAACCCCGGAGGCCCGGACCCATCTCCTTTATCCCCCCGGTTCGGGCCTGGGCCTGGTACAACCGGTCCGGTCCGGTCAGACCGGCCCCGGGCCATGCCTACCGGTACAGTGCCAGTCCCGATCTTTGACCAGGAACGAGTCCACAGTTGTATATGTGTCCTTTTTAAAATTACGATGTCCTTTTGTGTAATACGTAGTAGTTTTTTATTTGAAATGTCCCAAATCATCCTGGTTCTCAACTTCTCATTCATGTCTCAAAACTATTTCACACAATTATCAGTTTAAAAACAAGACAGCCCAAGCCCAAACCTAAATCTGCACCGAACCCAATCCTAGAAACTTGGGAAAATTTCACAAATAGATTAAAAAGCAAAAAAATATCACTTCTATCACTCGTAAACCTTTTTTTCAAAAATAGACTCACTTCCCTTTTCTTTTCACAAATAGCCATTCACTTGACCACCTGAGAGTACCGTTCACGTTGCTAACCGATTTTTCTTTTTTGGCCAGTAGCTAGCACGTAACGTATAGTATGCTTCCAATATACTACCTCCGTCCCCTTAAGTTTGGGACAAAAGAAGGTGACACGGTTATTAATAAAAGTGGGTTTATGTGGTTGATATTGAATTGATAATGTAAGAATAAAGTAAGAATGATTTAGAACCACACAAACTTTACCAAATAAGGTATGTGACAATCTTAGTGGGACGGACCGAAATGGTAAAATGGGACAATTATAGCGGGACGGAGGGAGTACGTATTAATAGTAAAGTGAATATGTGATAAAGTCATAAATTATTAGAAAAATAATAAGATATATTATATTTTCAAAAGAAAAAAAAACATATATTAAAAAGTTAAGAACATCAAAAAATGCATAAAGTAATCAAAATTGAAAAGTTGATGCTTAAATTTAAAAATATTGAGAAATATTTTAATTTAAGAAAATTAGAAATTGAAAAAAACGTAAAGAGTCTTTGAAAATACATAACTCAAAAGTAAAAATACAAGAGCTTAAAATATTGTACAATGTGGGAAAAGCTGTAGAAAATACAACTTATGTTTTTAGTAATGAATTTTATTATAAAATGCTTAATATACTTTTTTATAAATATTTAAATCTGTTAAAAAATATAAAACAAAAGTAAGAAGAGTAATAAAAATTTAAAAATAGTTAAAAAATCTAAATCCCTGAAAAATATAGAAACGTTATAAAGAATAAGAAAAAAAAGTGTTTTTAACTACAAAAAAATATGAAAATTTTACAATTTTTTATGAAAGAGTGAGATTTTTTAGAACCAGAATACAAACACACGCAAAGTTAAATATATAAAAAACTGAATAAATATAAAACTTGAAATTGAAATTCTTCATATTTTTAAAAAATTAGAAAATTTAATTATAGAAGAAAGCGTAGAAGAGAATAAAATTTAAAAACAAAATTGAAAATAAAAAATGTCAAATCTTTAGTTGTAAAAGAAAGCGTAGAAAATATAAAAATTCTAAAATAAAAAATGTCATAGATTAAAGTAAAATATAAAAAATAAAATTTGATATTAAAACAATATATATAAATTGTGTAACCCAATTTAGTATCATTTTATTGTTAGTTTTGTTACCTATTGTTTGTTTGTGTTTCATTTTGTTGGTAATTTTAATTTTTGTTGTTTTTTATTGTTTATTTGTGCTTTTTCTATTTTTATATTCATAAATTCAAATTTCTCATTTCAGGTGTTTGAACATAAATTTATATATGTCATTTTTATTATAAATAAGTAGCAAAGAGAAGTAAAAATCTAAATAAATGTCAAATAACAAATTTAAAATTATAAACAACATGGTGCAACAAAACGCAACACGATGCAACAACGAACAACAAATTTTTATATTCATAAATTCAAATTTCTCATTTCAGGTGTTTGAACATAAATTTATATACTCCGTATGTCATTTTTATTATAAATAAGTAGCAAAGAGAAGTAAAAATCTAAATAAATGTCAAATAACAAATTTAAAATTATAAACAACATGGTGCAACAAAACGCAACACGATGCAACAACGAACAACAAATTTTTATATTCATAAATTCAAATTTCTCATTACACGTGATTGTACATAAATTTATATATGACTTTGTTATTCTAAATAAGTAGCAAAGAGAAGTAAAAATTTAAATAAATGACAAGTAGCAAATTCATAATTATATACAACATAAACACAACATGCAACAAAAAGCAACACGATGCAACAAAAATCAACACAACGCAACAAAAAGAAACAAAATAATAAAGCAATATGATGCAATAAAAAACAACATAATGTAACAAAAT